TTCTTCAGAGTTTGCCAACTGGAAAATAAGGCACCAACCAATATTAGAGGCAGAAGTTATGACTGACATGTTGATACTTATTAAAAAAAATAAACTTTAACAAATGATTTTAAAATAACTTAACAATTAGTCAATGGCAGAACTTGGTAGACATGGTTGATGTGCATTGGGTTGTGCTAGGTACTCTTTTTTTTTCATGTGAATGTAGTTGCCTATATTATGCCTTGTGCTCTTGGTATTCCATTTCCTTTCCTCTGCTCATGCTTTTCCTCTTTATGTTCATTACCTATATCATTCCATATTTATTAGACTTAATGGACAAAATGAAGTAATTTATTAGACTTAATGGACAAAATGCAGTAATTTATTAGACTTAATGTCGAATGTCAGATTAGAAAATAAACTAGGGCAGAATGCAGTAATTCCTTAGACTCTGCAGATCTCTGTAATATGAACTTGGTGGACAAAATACAAGTTCAACAAACCAAAAAGCTCTATGGACAAGCTCCTAATTATTGCTGCAACTAACAAGCTCTAAACAACCTAAACAAAAAAATGTAACCAAAATAAACCTCCCAACTATTACTGCAACTAACAAGCTCTAAACAACCTAAACAAAAAAATGTAACCAAAATAAACCTCCCAACTATTACTGCAACTAACAAGCTCTAAACAATCTAAACAAAAAAAATATGTAAACAAAATAAACGTCTTTGAGGCATTTCCTCAAACACCTTTTAAGCACAGGAGACAAAAAGAGGAAACATAAGTGAAAAGGAATCAACACACAGAAGGAAGAAATAACAACAAAAAGAGGAAACAAAAATAAATTACCTGGATCAGAAAGATAGTGAATCAACACAGTAGTGAATCGATGGAGAGTGAATCGATGGAGAGTGAATCGATGGAGAGCGATGGAAGGAGAGTGTGAAAAAATGATTTAGTCTTGAATCTATTTTGAAGAACAACATCAGGGAGGAGGGGGTTATATGTATAGATAAGTTTGTGATACATCAAATCGGTTTTGAAGACTATTTGAGAAGAAATCTGTTCGATCAGATCTACAAGCTGATCAAGGTGATACATCAAAACCACCATTGTTACCTATTCGAGGTCTGTGAAAGAAGAAAGCTAACTCTATCTAATCTAGATTTGTTTTGGCGCTTGAGATCAGATACGCAGAAAAGGGATTTTTAGAAGTCTGTAAGAAAAAGCACGCTCTAAAGCATTCCCTTAGGGTGCGTTTGGTTTGCGGGATTGGAATGGATTTGGGTGGATTTGGATTTGAAATCCATTCCAATCCTGTGTTTGGTTTGTAGGAATGGTAGGATTTCAAATCCAAGGATTCATTTAAAATCCCGTGAACTATGGATTTCAAAATCCTTTGAAAATACATGGGATTTTAAAATCCCATCCCCGTGGGATTTCATCTTCTCCATCTTCTCGTCTCCATCTTCTCCATCTTCTCCCACAGCTTATCGCTCCTCCGTTGATTGCTCACCATCGTCGATCTCGTCTCCATCTTCTCCCACAGCTTACATCGCTCCTCCATTGATTGCTCACCGTCGTCGATCATCGTCTCCGTCTCCGTCGCCGTCTCCCATCACTCAACAGGTTTTTCCCCTTTTCCCCTTTTCCCCTTTTCGATTTCTGTCTAAACTTTGAACACAGATTAGGTAAAATCCTTCACTTKTGACAGATTAGGTTGAAAATTCTAGTGTAATGGTGGTGATAACTTTGCCATACATACAGTTCGATGATTGCGTAATACTTTAGTTGTCTTCACTATATACCCTAGTTCACCCTTCAATGAAGATCTGTTTCTTGGTGTGCTTATGGATGATGCTTATCCAAATCCAAATCCTGCA